GCTGAAACAAAAAGACTATTTGCAGCTAGACAACGATCCAATAGAGTGGTCGATCTCTTCACACATGTGAGTAAACGCGATTAATACTAATATTCACAATACCTGTGTAAATTTAGAAACACATAGTTATTCACAACTATGTAGGTATATAAATTAGGCATATAAATATACAATGTCAGGATTAAAAATTAATTAGTCGCCACATCCGTCATTCGTACTTAAACAAAACAGAATGTCTAGAATACAAGTTACTCGTAACTGACGAATTACTTGGCGGTCTAACGAACGAGTTTATGGTATATACTGAAATGGCTTGCATGGATACATGACGAATTGGCGCGGTCGTGTGCAATTTTATAAGCATAAGTTGTACATTAGTGAATCCACATTAATGCTATTACTGTCCTAGTAGTACTAGTAATAGGTCAAACTAGAAACGTGAAGTCCCATCTTTGTTTAAGTCGACGTGGTGTTTAGTCTAGAGTGACCTATATACAATTCAGTAATGACATTTCCAAGGAGAGCTCGGAATAAATTACTACATAAACTATACAAATTGCATTTATTCTGCTGTAAAATAAATAAGATTATATCGTTTGACCTATACCACAATATAGTGTCTAGATTGTTATGAGTCACTTTATTATATATTATATATAGTTACTTTATTGATGAATACTTGCTACGAGGATTACATCATTGTAAACCATGATCTTCAAAACATTATACATGTAATTATCAACATCACGCAATATATCAATGTTCATCAATTAAGTAGTACTTCTTTCATTTCACCCCTAATGATCACAATTTCACAATGGCTATGTGTGTTCATCAGCATTTTAAAACTATTTCTGAAAAATAAAACAATATAAGTATATATTGTAAATTGTGACAACAATTGATTGTAGCCTTCACATTGCTAATGAAGTGAAAAAATGCAATTCTATAGTGTAAACTGACAATTTAGAATCGGAAAATTATGTACGCGCGTTGATTAGCATCAAGTGATACTGTTTGATATGCGTATTAACTTATTCATTTATTTATATTTTCATTTGTTCTAGGCAAACAGATTTCAACACGCTGACACTGAAAATGATGATATGGATTGTAATATTTGATTAGGACCAATTATTTAATAATTACCTGATATTGTTACGATCGGCAATGATTTTGATTTGTTCTATTGTTTGAATTCCTTGTTTATTATTGATTACTAATCAGTATACGTTTTAAACAAAATTACACATGATATGATTATGATTATATATGATTATAGTTTAGATTGAGTTATAAATTCATTTATTTATGTGTAATATTCAGCAGTGTATTGTCATGATTGGGTTACGCCATATTGTTACGTCCTGGGCTGCCAATTTTATGAAAATTTTCATTTGATTATGACTGATATAGGAGCGTGGGGATAATCGGAAGTTAATCGACTTGTTGTATTCCCACGATATGTGCACATGTTAACCAGTCCGGATTTGGATCGGTAAGAGAAAGTTGAGGACCCTAATATCTTGTTTCTAACCTGGTTAACAATGATGGAATCCTTAAAATTATTATATTAATATTATTCAATCAGTGTGTTTTTAACATTTTTCGTGTGTGATTTACTATACATTTTCTGAGACGGGGCAAATGTTGTATGTCGCTAATTGTTGAGATCTATGTAAATTGTCATTATGAGAATGTAGGTATAGTCAATAAATATATGTAAAATCTGAAATACGAGTTTATTTTGTGTATCCGCATAACCTCTATAGAATATATAATGTTAACAAATGATGCCTGATCCAAGCTGGAACCTGTATAGAATGCATATCGAGGTATGAGATACTGACTATATAAAGTAGACATATAATCGAAATTAAACAGAATAATCCAACTATTTTTATATCCTCCTCTCATGTTTCCCCAACACACCTTCATCATTTCCAAGAACGTGTCCGGCATTCATGCCTACTTCCAAACGACTTATTTAGACACTTCAGCTTCCTTCATCAAAAAGGCTTCTCGTAAAACTTCCCATTGTCCTGAATTTGGTGTTGTATATAGCCTGGAAAAATTATAGCATTGACAATGGAAAAACCCAATTTGTGTGGCAATACTGGTACATGCCCTTCTAAAAAAAATAGATAATAATATATTCCAAAGCGAACAATTGTTTTTAATTTGCATAATTTTTCCTGAGAATCGTCCGGTAATATTTACAACCATGGCTCTTCTTGTGTTGGTCTTTAAATTATTTGTTAAGTATTATTCATTTATCAGCACAGGAGAGGTATGGTTCGTCGCAGTATGGAAACTGACGCCAATCGATAAGTTTATTACAGTTTCGTGAAAGCGAAAATGGCGACAAACACGGAAAGAGCTATGAACCAAAGCTAAATGTGATCGTATCAATGGTGGGCCAGTTAACGGACTAAAGTATGGACCCCATCATGCCTTGGATTTTGCACCATCTACAAGAGGGTTTAAAAAAACGGAATGGTATTCCCAAATCTCGACTTAATAAAGTGTTAATTAATGACTAGTTTACATTATACAGAGTAACTTTTGTCCACGTAAACAATACGGCTAACCAACAACAATGGGGTAATTTTACTAATTTCATTTGAGGACGCCCCAAACCCTAAAAGTAAACTATTGTGTTATAATGCAAATAGTATATCCTTGTCCTTTAACCTTTTCACCACCAGTTCCCTCTTTTCATCACAAATGCACAAAATAGTCCCGTTTATAGGTCAGCACTTTCCTTCAGAAGATTTGGACAAATATACCCAGATTTGTTGAGTAAAATCTGAAAATTTACTCAAATTTTGTGTTGGCTCCAAAATTATGGTTCATTTCCAGAAATATTGAAGAATAAAATAAAATGCAGAAAAATTCTGGCGTTGAAAAGGTTAATTTGTGCAATCAAGGCATCTAACATACAGCTTTCCTCGATCACCTAAATGCAGCTTGAGCTTCTAAATCCAACACTCATAATACTGTTACAGCAAAATGCCCGACGTCTACACTGAGCACGAGTGTTAAAGTTGAAGAAATATTTTACCAACATAGGTTCAAGACAATGTACCCGCAGTCGCCTTTGAATGCCAGAACAATTTATCTGCCAGAAAATATTCACAAGAACGACCAGTTTGTTGCAGACCTGGGCGAGATAAGAGATTTAATTGGACCTTACGATTCACCTCCAATACCAACTTTCTGCATTAACCCACTGGCTTGGTTGGGGGAAAGTATTTTAAGAAACTATGACTGATCATTGACATTTCAGCATCACATGACAGAACACACGTGCCTGGCCCTAATAGTGCAAGAGACATTCTACAAAATACATCGATGTTAGATGCAAACAATTCAATGTATACATTTTATGAGCAGATACTTTTGCACCCTGTTAAATGGAACAATCCAGATCAAACCTGAAAATATTTCACTCATTGTAGGATAGCAGAGCATGGATTGAATGTGAAGTGTGTCCTTAATATACTGGATAATATCCCTACCGTGGATAAATTGACCATTTTCCATTCACTGCGAGAATCACGCGTTATGCGTGTAATGGATGTAGAAACAGGACAAACAAAGGTCATAACATCGCGTGGGATTCCACAAACGTGAAAGTATTTTTGGGATATTTCCATGCTTAATAATGTGCTGTACACAATTGATGATAGGTAATTTCGATGAAGTAAGGGACGACGTCAAAAGATTGCGGCTGATCTGCACTGGCTCGGAAGATGAATTCTGATTGGCTAAAAAAACAAAAAAACTTGTGGCGTTGAATGCACGTTCATTGTCAGTATTGTTATGCAAATTCAAACTAGCTAATCATTTACAACCTTCCGAGCCAGTGCAGATTAGCCCAAAGATTGATGTCTAATAAAAATACTTATTTGCTTTAGTTTAGGGGTGGGGGGGTTTTGACCTCAAAAAGTTTCCATCCTACAAAAACGATTTTATTTTTTAATGAAGTCAACAAAATCTTGGAGTATTTGTAGTTTGGTCCGAGTGTAAATATGAGCATCAAATGAGGTCAATTTCTAGGCATGGACCTAGAACATGCACAGAACCCAGAAAAGTAGTTTGCGCACGCGTATATTCCCTTCATTATTTCATCTTGAACGGCTGAAGGTTTGGTGGCTGGGTTTTTTCTGGGCGCGAGTTAGTAAGACACCATGATCAATATTTATCAATTAAGTTTCAGTGGGGGGTTTGGGAAAAAACTAAAGGAATTAAGTTATTTATCCTACATTGAACTTTTGATGTTGTCCCTAAGGGTATTCGAAAGCAATCTTCTGTCGAAGATCGGCCGGTCAATGTGAGCTACGAAATAAAAAAATTAGAGTTCAAAATCAAATTGTTCGATTTTTGCAGCAGACGTTCGACGCACGTCTTCATGCAACTCGCGAGATCTCGCAGTTGAACGGGAAATCACCTATTTATGGAAACTGGTGTGTTCATGCAAAGATGTCAATCTGCAAATTACTTGTCTTGTCAATTGTCTTATCTCAAAAAAACGTTTTAGACAACCTTCTACCCTGTGCTCCACCTAATTTTACCATATAAAAAAGATTCCTGCCTTATTTTGGACAACTTTAAACTCCTTTGCCCTTTTCAATATACATGCTTGGCCTGTAAGTAAATTGTTCGGCTCTCAGGTCAACTTCACCGTACAGGATATAATGCCATTCAACTGTATGTTCATGGAAAACTTGAAGTCATTCCAAACATGCCTGGCATTCAAACTTTTTTTCATGTGCCTTCCACAACATTCTGCCTTCTAAGAGTAGTCTTCCCAGAAAACGTTGGGTCTGATTCTCTAACTAAACTAAAAATATACTCCAAAAAATAAATGCCAATGCTTACTTTGTAGAAAATCAACCAAGGGGGTATCCTAGAAAATTATAAATGGTCAGTAAACACACATAGTAAACAAGTCTGTTTTGGGGACTGCAAAAGGACAGCAAAAGACACATAATAGGTTACTGGACACTTCCAGTGATATGGAAAGGTTTTATTTTTTGTAACAAATAGTGGACTTTCACTAATCTGAAATTGACAGAAAGTATCATGTCTGGACAGTGTACAATGAGTAGCAAGTTCAGTAATATGAAAACTGAGAGGTTTGTATTCAGTAGATTCGCACAAGTTATGTATAAACCCACCTTTAAGAGAGTTGCACCTGTCATCCGATTTATTATGCCCAGAAATTGCCTAAGCATTAGAGTTGCGTTCCCACTTTACAAATCTGAGAGATGCCATCTTCCGACCAAGATAAAAAAAATGTGGATGGGTAAATGTGAAATTAACTGCAGAACATGAACAGGTTTCTTTTCGGTTCTTGAAGAGTTGTATGATTGTATAACAGAAACAAACCCCCAGTAATTTCAAAATGAATTGTCTGGATATTTACTTACATATATCATATTTCTCTTAGCAATACCAAAATGATTTTCACACATTTTATGTTCCATCTTGTTCTGGGAGTAATGTTCCACAAATTAGCAAAATGGGAGATTAACGAAAACAACAAGTTTAGTTCAAATTAACGAGTAGTTACAATAGGCAAACAACAATAACCAACCTGCATGCTTAGGCATGAACGAAAACGGTATTAATGTCTTACATGATACTGACAGACAAGCTGCAAAATAAAATCAAGACACGTACAGAATAAACAACCAAAATCATTAATGACATGAATGGAGAATCAAAACCTGCAAATTTTCCTTTGACAATCTGAATCTTGCTCATTAATTTAGAAATGAAAAGTTTCTCCCAAAAAGTAAGTGTTCACCATCAAAGGATTAGTTTAAACAATTTTTGAATCTGGTCCCAGTAAATACAACAGAGGTATGAAGAGTATAGTATATTTTGAACATTGATAGATTAGTTTTCAGGGTTTTGCAGTAAATATTGGCAGAGAAGTTGGCCCTATGCTGCTAAATGTTAAATACCCTGTAATTGATCTTTAGACAACTAACAATTTGTTACTCACAATATTCGTTTTCGTACAGACACAACAAATTGCAATATTACCAAAATTATTCATGATTCTGTCTTGAGCTGGGAATAATTAAAATGTACGAATTGAAACAGGTGTGATTGCTTTAATTGCTAGCTTAAATGGACTATTTTCACCCAACAAAGAAAAGATGCTTTGTGCATCAACATTCCAATCACATTAATTATGTTCTATATAAAATAGACATGTCCTTGAAACTCAGTGGAAACTTTTAACATAAAAAGTGATAATTTCTATCAAGAGACGCATACTGCTATCTAATTCTTTGAGCATTATAAATTTTGGTGAAACACTTAGCATATTTATGTGTTCATTCTCCTGCTCAAAATTTCCGAAAATTTTTAGTTTTTGACAGTTGATTCAGAACTCAGAATTAAAAATAAAATAACAACATTACTAGATTAGCTATACGCTGATTTGTGATTGGTCTTGCGACCCGGATAATAAGTGTATTATTAATTTTATAGAGTAATAAAATTTATGAAAAATATTACATTCAAGTATTAAATTTATTTTGGTATTCAAGCATAATTCAGTGACAGGATAATTCAATTTGTGCATTTTTAGTTTTTCTAAATATTAAAAATTTCAACAAATGAAGAAAACTCTGAGAGACATCACTGATGTACAAACCCACACATAAACCATAACGATCGAATTTATGGTTTTTATTTGTACACACAGAAGAAAAATAAAATATTATAAATTTTGGTGATTTCAGAGGAACATTTGAGTGATGTCATTCAGAAGATTAATATTTGATGTGAAAATGACACAAACTTTGATTTATCAGAAAGGGCAACAGCCTGCGAGTCACGTACAATTTATTTTCTTGTGATGTCAAATACAGTTTGATGTATAATAATCATGGCCCTCCAATCAGTATCTAAACCAGCTCCCTCTAGTGGCAGCATTTGACCATGACAGAACATAACATGGTGATGAAGAATAAGGTAATGCATCCTGGGTAACAAAACAACCACTGCATTGTGAATTGTGGTCTATGAAAATAATTGCAATGCATGTGTGAATAAACCCCTCCCTGCCCAAATAAAATTTTACCGAAAAAAAACAAACATAAGAGCTACAAATGGTCATTACAATTTCTCTTCTAGCCAGGATAGAACATTAATCCAGTCTTATTTGCGTCCACCTTCTGCACCTCCTGCTGGTTCTGTAGCTGCATCTGAAGCTGCCTCTTTTGCCTTAGTAGCAGCCTGTCAAAAACAGATAATATTTGATAAATCAGTACAAACCATATACATAAACCTGAACACATCTTTTTTCACCACTATTTCGCTATTGATTGTTCCTGTTGTCCCCCAGCTTCCTGACAGAAAAAGGCAGAATTTGAGGTTTGTGTTTTTTACTGGGCATTATTAAGACATACACAGCCCAATCATCTCATGTAATATATATATACAGGGATACAGTGGGCTGTCTAGTGCTCACGATTTACCAGGAACTGGTGGTGAAAAGGTAGACTGG